ATGGACAGCACCTTGATAAAGCCCATTTAGCTTTCTCTGGATTAACACAGATCATAAAAAAGCCCACCTAACATTCTAAGAAAATATATGGGCAACACCTTTAGAAAGCTTACTCTACAATTGTTAGTAGTGCAAGTTAGAATTTGTTACAGAATTTTACAGACATTTTGTTGACTATTTTACGCAATAATTAGTAAATGCATCGAGAACAAGCTAGGGGATCTAGCACCAGAAATGTACCTTATCAGTAATACTATAATAGAAAGGAGACTCTTTACAGATGACATCATTGTACAGAATTTTAGTGATCTAAAGATAGACAGAAGGAAAGAATGATGAAAGAATAACAGAAACACAACATTTTGTAAATTATTAGAAAGATAGAAAATTTCTCACAGATGACATCAGTGAATTTTAGCGATCTAAAGAATAACAGGATAACCTTGTTATCTTCACAGCTGTATTGAATGAAGTTTCTTTTTAACACGTTTAAAATTAGACACGAGAAACAACATGGACATACAACTGCACTATTTTCGGTATGTCACATGTATCCTTGAATTTGACGATTGCGAACTGAATTGTCATTTTTTCACATGTCAATGGTCAAATGTTTTGCTTATTTTTGTTCGGCATTAAGTGTATTTTTAATTTGCCAAAGGTGAACAAAATCAAACTCAGTAGCAATTTAATGCTAAGTGTAATCACTCAAAAAGATGAAAACGAGATAAGTTAATTTTTACAAAAACAATGTGGCATTTTATGTACATTATGACAATGCCTGACTTTTTAATGATAATGTGCAAAAAAATACAATGATTAGAAAATATTACTGGCTACTAAGACACAGGCAGAGAAGGTGTTGTACAAAGTCGCACATGCTCACGAAAAGCGAACACATGATGCACAAAAGACATTTCACGACATGCAATTTACGTGTCAATGTTCTTTCTAGTGTTTAGTGTTTATAAGTAATTCTGTTTTATCTAGATGAGAACAATATAATCTGAGTTTATATCGAAAAAACAAACGTTGTTTTGGCAACTAACATAGCAATATTTGTTTGATGTGATCATCATATGAGCATACCTGCTATGATAATTACCAAAAGAAAGTGTTAATTTCCATCTATTCATACCATACTTTTTTATGAAGATGCATTTTCAAACAAAATTATTTAAACTTGATAAATATATTTGTACCAGATGACATTTCAGGACGTTGAAAATCACTGCAATGTTAAAGCATGAGGGTGGTCACCTGCGTACGTGCGGGAATTGAGTCCCAAGCGATGATAACACACGTTAAAACGCAAAGGCTCATGGGTAGACGCTCGTTTGTAAACAATGACACGCTATGGCCATCTGACGCGTGTGCAGGTGACAACTCTCCTGCTTTAAAGTGTAGATGGTACATATAGTGTAATTTGCCACAGACACTTAATTAAAATTTCTAGTTACCTGTTGAGTTGACAGTTTTGTACAGAGTTCACAAATACTATCCACATCTTGATCTACTTTCTTACTGACTTGTAACAATTGCGATACTTGTACTAATGGTTCTAACGTTTCCGAAGCCCCACTGTCTACCAATTTGCTACCTCGTAACCATTCTTCCAGTTCGCTCACATTATACCTAATGTGACAATAATAATAGTCAGTTAAAGAGTATCAAGTACTATTTAATTTGTATTAAACTGTTATATTTTTGGCAATAAACTTACCTAATTTGCATACCCTTTGACCAATGACACATCTCCTTTCTAAGTACAAGGTTATTGAGTGTTGTAGCAGTCATCAAATAGAATATCTGAAATACACAATATTGAAGTCAAGTCAAAGTAATTTGCAACACTTCACCTGATTGGCCACATAACCCTAACAACCTAAGAGTCAAGCCAATCACAAAACAGCTTGTTTCCATGGAGTAACCATTCAATAAGCTCATTTACATATTTGAATATTTATATTGTCAAATTAATCTGAAACAAGCAGCCTGTTGGACGAGATAGCTCCGCTGTTAGCAATGCACATTGAAATTAAAAAACAGAAGATATCATTAGAAAATGAACAATATGTATAGTATCAAAGCAATCGGACTTGCTGTTTTCAACAAGAAATCAAAAATATCACTTTTTACCAAAAATGACAAAAATATTCATCAAAATTAGAGAATTGAAGATATCATTACAAAATGAACAAATCTGAGAGAGGTCCACATGAAGTACCTATACATGTATATGTAATATCAAAGCAATCAGACATGTAGTTTTCAAGAAGAAGTGAAAAAAGTAAAACATTGACACGGACGACGGCGACAGACGAACAATCACTCATATGATAAGCTCCGCTCGACAAAGTCGACAGCAGAGCTAAAAAAAAATCATTTTGATAGACCATCATCCTAAAGAGAGCTCCCTCTAGTGGTATGTTACACACATTTCAAAATAGCATTGGTTATTTAGAGAGCTTTGCTTTATTTCAAATGACTACGAGATTTGTATATTGCTCACATCAATCTACGCGAGTCACACTGACGTAACAGAAGCACTTCAACGGTAGACCGGTCTAGTAAAGGTGTACATGTGATCAATGTTTAAGTAAGTATGCCATTACCTGTTTATACAACTGTTTAACAATCTGTGGGTCCAAGCCATGATTGTGCATCACCGACAAGTACGTACTCAGTTGTTTTGTGATGGTATAGATAGTGATTCTTTCCACGCCTTCTTGATCGTTAGACATACCATCATGCATACTACTGATAGCACCAGTTATTCCTTCGTGCTCAACCATTCCTGGTACTAAGTGGAGTAAGACGAAAGTTATTAATATTTAGTTGGCCTAGTCGAAAAAATATCAAGTTTCTAGTCATTGGTGTTATCAGGTACCTTGGTATTAGTTTTAATTTTTAATGTCACTAACTAAACCAAACATAGTGCAACTAGTGTGACCTTAACCTGTTTCAAAATACTGGAGGGGAATCATTTAAGCGCATGACATTACTTTAACTTTTTGACAACAATTAAGAAGCAGCATTTCGGGTCATAGCTACAATGTTATTAATTAGGTACGCAAGACGAACTAACCTTGCTGAAATTTGAGAGATACGAACGATCAATTTTTATTTAGGAATTTACGCATGGTATGCACAAGTTCGAAAAACATCCAACG